AGCGCCACCACGCTCCCAAGCGGCGCACTGTAGCAGTGCGCCACCGGGCCGGCCCTGCCTTAGCCATTTTTAAGCTTACATTCACATTGTCATGCAGCCAGGCTCCAGAATCTTTCGTCTTGCAAAACTGAAACTGTCCCCATGGAACACTGTCTCCCCAGTCTACCTCCCGCAGCCCTGGTGATCACCATTCTACCCTCTGTCTCTATGAATATGACCACTCCCGTAAGTGGAATCATATAGTATGTGTCCTGTGACTGGCTTCTTCCACTTTGCATGATGTCCTCAAGGGTCTTCCATGTGGCATGTGTCAGACTCTCCTTCCTTTGAGGTTGAAGGAGATGCCGTTGTGCACTGTGAACATGTGGCGTACCCATCATCGGTGGACACTGACCTGCTCCCACCTCTTGGCTGCTGAGGTGCTGCCCTGGGCACTGGTGTGCCAGGCGCCTGCTTTCCAGTCTGGAAGTTTGTGTTGTAGTGGGGCCCCTGGCCTTCCAGTCCATGTCTGGTGACACTTCTAGGAAGCAGGATGTGGAAGCTCCCCCTATGGGCAAGCTCTTCCTGCAGACCCAGGGCATCCCTGTGGCAGCCGGTGTCTGGAACGGTGCTCCAGTTATGGAACGGTGTTATCTGTCACCATTTCACAGATGAGGGCAGAGAACAAGGGGGTGAAGTAACTTGCCCTGTCTCCCAGCTGGGGCGTGGCAGACTGGAAGAGGGGCACGCCGACTGCCCCCACCAGCTGCTTTTTTGTAGTGTCAGGGTGTCAATGCGAGTGTGCACATGTAGATTTGGGGACATTTGTGACCAGCACAGAGGCTGATACATCGGTACCTAGGGCCCAGGACGCCAATAACCAAGCCTCAGGAGTGCACACAGGCCCTGATTTCAGCCTCGGTGGTGGCTGGCGGCCTCTCCTCCTGCTGAGCCTGCCAGGAGCACTGTGCCCGCTCACAGCCTGCCCTGCAGCACACTTCCGCCAAGGCTCCTGGAGAAGTATGCCCACATCCAAGTTAGTTTTGCATAAGTGCCTTTTCCATTTTCAGCTTCATTACACCCAAAGTACAATGTATGAGTTTGTAGTCAGGCCCTGGGTGACCCAGTTAATGCTGTTTCCAGTGGATCTTGCCTCTCTTCCCTCAACACCTTTCAACAAATCAAGAAATCAGAGAAGACTGCAGCTTGAGACACCAGCCTTCCTCCTGGGAAGTGCACCCAAGCAGTTAGAGCATGCCCAGGTCCCGATGCTGGTGGGGCATGCCTCGTCTGGAAGGCAGCTGCCCCGTGTGCGTGCCCCCCAGCACCGCAGCTCCCCTGCCCTGCCTCCAGATCCCCGCCAGCTCCCTTGCTGGCGTCGGAGTCTTCCTCCCGGCAGCCCCTCCTGAGGCGCAAACCCGTTTTCACCCTCTCCCCTTCTTTCCCCTCTTCGTCCTCTTTTCTCCAATCTCCAAGACTAGGGAGACAGGGGCCACCAGGGCTTTGATCAAATTGGCACTTTCTAAGGAGTGTCCCAGCTTCTGGCCAGTCTGGAGAAGTGAACCAGCCCATCCTGAGGCACCTTCTAGATCTTCAAAGAACCAGTTATAAAAGAACCAGTTACATTTGACACAGAATGCCCCTANTCTAGATCTTCAAAGAACCAGTTATAAAAGAACCAGTTACATTTGACACAGAATGCCCCTAAGTCATTTGGGAAGAAGAAGAATAAAAGTTAATCCTCGATGCCTATGTAGGGTGCTTGGCAGCGGGTAAGCAGAGCCTTCATTTGATAGACGGGTGCCCCACCTCTGTGGACAACGGTGGCCACAGGCACAGACCGCCTTCCTTTCTCCAGCCCACCTCTGCCCCCGGCCAGTCCCTTGTCTGGCCCTAGTGCCTGGATGCCAGGATTGTTAACAGGCTCAGCTGCAGGAGTCCAGGAGGCTGGGCAGCAGTGGCCTTGGGCTGTGACATCAGTCTGCACCTGTGTCCAGCCAGAGCAGAATGTCTCCTTCCAGATAGGGAGGGCCCCTGGGTGCTGGGAGGGATGGGCCGTGGGCCCCACACTGGGATCCCACACATCTGGTTGGTTGGGAAAGGCCTGTGGAGTTTGTGACAGGCAAAAGTCACAAAACAAATGACAGAGAGGAATTGGGCAGGTGGCAGCCAGGACCAGCCTGCAGTCAGTGGACTTGGAAGCCTACCCCAGCCGTAAAGAGATGCCAGGCCAGGTGCGCAGGGGCAGGTGGGGGCAGCCTCCAGCAGGCCCTGGCGCTCGGCCCCCACTGAACGAGCAGGTGGGCCACGGCTGGGTGGGCGGCCACGTGGGCCTGTGCTCTGACACGGGTGGGGCCTCCACCCAACAAAGCCTTTGTCTCCGAGGTGAGGCGGGGAGGGTGTTCTCTTCAGGAGACCGAGAAGTCCTCCATAGGTAGAACCTTTCCATGGAATGAAAAGAACCATCACGTGGGGGAGCAGGGCCTGGCCTTCCTGCCTGGGACCTCCCCCCACCCGCACCTGCATCTCCTGCAGGCAGCTGACCCTTGACCTGCTAGGGTGCTGACCAGGGCCACCCTTCCTGCCCCTGTCTTTTCAAGTATGAGGACCCCTAAAAAGTCATGAACGTCAGGAGATGCTAGCTGGACTGAGGAACTTTCAGGCTGAGGAAGTCCTGAGGACAAAAGGCCACGGGAATTCAGCAAGGTCCTGGATGGCAGGGTGCTGACACAGGTGCTGGGAGAGGTCTGCCGCT